TTTAGTCATTTTGTTAGTAATTTAATCTACTTTTGAGTTTCAAAAGCCCTGAAATTTTTAAAAGGTTATGAATTTTTTTATGATAAAAAAAAGTAAATAAATATTTTCTTCATGGCGCCATTCACAATTGAATAAATCGAAACCTTTTTCTTTTAGTATGATTTCAATAAAAACATTTGTTGTGAATAGCATTTTGCTAATAAAATTATTATTTATAAAATAAATCTCTCTAATTATACCTAAAAATATGTAAATTTTTAAATCACAGATCAAAATATTATTTATTTAAAAATGTCCATTCACAATTTTTGAATAAGAGATCACTTATTCTATATTTTTTCAAATAAAGACTCATTTGCACGAACCAAGCGACCTCATTGATAAATGAATTGTTGTTATTCTTTGAAGTTTTGGGTTCGAACACCTGTTATTAAATGGTTGAGAGTTATCTTTAAACAAATATTACCTTGTGTTTATCCTATATTAATAAAAAGAATAAAAAAATAAAGACTCATTTAATAATAAATTTTCACTTGATTTTCGAATTGAATAAAAGGAGTTCATTATATATAAATAAATAAACTCAATTTACTCCAATTGCAACACAACAGGATTCAAACTCCTAACCATGTTTAAGAGATCTAATGTCTCGTCCCACTAAACCAACTAATTGTTGATAAATAACTTTAAATTTTAATAAAATCATTAGACTTATTAATAATATACAAAATAAATAGTACATCAAATAAATTGTACTAAATTTATTTCGTTGTGAAATGCGGCCATTCTTCTAATTACAATGATCAATTTACTGGATAATGCAACAGTGAAATTATATTTCATTATAGATTAATGAATTCCAACTCGTGACTACGACAACTTCACTATTGGCAATGATAAAGCAGATGAAATTACACGTACCTGTGTCTCGTCACCGCAACGATGAACCAGTGATAGTTTCTGCTATAAAATCAACCAGTGATATAAAGCAAGCTCAAGATAAAGCCAGCGAGAAGACAATATAACAAAACTAAATATATACTACTACTAGTAAAAGAGAAGAAGATGAAGGAGAGTTTGGAAGCAAATTAGAAGTAACGTGGAAAGTGATATTGGCGCGGCTCAATCTGAGATCGTATTTTACAACCGAATCCATGCGTAAATCCGTCTTCGGATTGAACCTCACCAACATCGCTTTCTTTCTTTTGCTTCCCAAGCAACCTCCAAATCTAAAGCTTCATCCCAGGAATGCAATGAGAAACACACCCCGATCGATGTTTAAAGAGTTTGTAGCTTTTATACACTTTGCATGCCTGCATATATCCCCCTTACCAACCAACAACAACAACAAGAAGGGAAAGGGTACTTGAATAAAGAAGAGTTAGATATGGCCCCATGGCAATAAAATTTGATCCTTTTTCCGGTCTCTGGTAGGCCAAAAGAAGCCTACCTTCATGGCGGTTTTGTTGGTGGTTTGGAATGATTATGACAAAGTGGGTCTCTGATATCATGTTTTTTATTCCTTCATTAATTGTGTCAAAATCAAGGCAAATTTAGTGCTAAACTATTAGCATGTCCAGTCAATGAAATTAATTATGAGGAATCTAAAAAAACAAAAAAACAAAACAAGAATAGGCCGATAAAAGCAATTACAGAGAAGAGGTAACAAAAACCAACTATGATCCATGAAGACGACAAACACAGTTATAATATGATGTTTCTTGGTGCACTAAGACATAACAAAAGACAAATGAAGGCGACATTCTTCTGTTGATTAAAAAGTGTCTTACAGTAATCCTCAAAGTTTTATATAATCACTGCTGTTCATCATAGGTACCGCTCAAATCAATCAAAAACAAGGCTTGTTTTTCAAAGGGTTTAACTCGATTAGAGTTCAAAAAGAAAACAAAAGGAAGTGAAGAGATTGTCAACGATGATCAATATATGTCTAAAAGAAACAAAGGTTTTATAACTTTATTTGATGCACGAGAGAAGGATTAAGAAAGACATTACAAGCGATAATTTAAATAGATGTTAGAAGACGGCATTATGATGATTATTTTAATTGATGTATTAAATATTTAATGTCGATATGTATCATAATAAATATAATGCGATAAAAAATGTATATGTAATCATAATTTAGAATTTCGATTACGAATTTGAGATGAGAGGTGAGGGAAATGATGTTAAGAGGAGCAAAATTTACTTTAGGATTTGCATTTGCCTTGCTTAATTTGTACTCGATCAAAATCAAATTCCTTCACTTGCGCATGCTCCTGGAAATATTCTCCTCAAAAGGGAAAAAAAAGAAAGAAAGTATGAATGAACCTACTAACAAAACAACTCCTTTCCATGGTATTGGTACCTTCTTTTGCTTAGAATTTATATTTATATTATTATTTTTTTAAACACCACCACCTTTCTATGTCCTGTTGGCTTTTACGTGATGTTCATAGTTATTTACATTACTAATCTGTGTTAAAATGTTGAGCTCAGTATGGATAGACACGTATAATCTCATATATCGGGGCTAAATAGCGAATAGTAAAAGGGCAAAGATTTGGCACTTGCATTGCCAACAACCCAAAGCGGAGACAACGGCGCTAAAGGAGACCTGCCTTGGGCCTGCACTAGGGAACACAATCCTTGGGTTTTGCTTTCTTTTCCTTTTCCTTTCTTTCAAAGAGGGTTAGTCAGGCCCCTCTTTCATCTTCTTCTTCGCCTTGAAGATTTTGGGAACTGTTAAAAAAAAGCAACTTTTTTATTTAAAAATAAATCCTCTTCTCGCAAACTCATGATTTTCGGCGTGCCACTTACCAATTACGGATTTCCCCATGCTTTCAACCATTTCATTCCCTCCTCACCAGATCCTAGGACCCTTTTTTTAATAATTTAATCTCAATAAATGGAGGAGAAGTCAAAAGGTATGGTATAGCAGAAAATTTAGCCTTTTTCTCTTTACATTATTATTTTTATTATGATTTTGACCCAGCACATGCCTTTAATTGTGTGACGAGAGTTACAATTTCAAGGGAAGGAATAAATGAAAGTGTCTACAGATTCTGCAAAAATGAAGAGTGTGAACATAGATTTACAAGGTTGGGATGTTTGATTATTGCAAGTGTTGATTAAAGGGGTGGGACAAAGAGACACCCGTGTTTCTTACTCATGCATAGATTTCCTCAAGTCGTATGGGAATGGTCCATGATCATCGTTTTATTCTTTTTATGACCAAAAGACAAAAATACTTTTTTAGCATTTCTCCAATGAAAGAGAGTTATTGAATGACTTTTGATTTTGCAAGTTTACCCACACTTCATTTTTGTTTTTAAAAATTATTCAATACATATATGAAATTTAATTTACACTTCTTTATTAAATTTGAGTTAAAATAAAATCTAAAATCCAAAGTGCAAAAAAATCATTGTTTAGTCTTTTAAGCTATCGAATATTAATTTCACAAATATTACAATTAACGTTATAAATACAATAAAATGTGATTTCTTATTCTTAGTATTTGAGCTAATCAATGGGCCAAACGCTAAGATCAATGGCAATTATGCACCGTAACACTAAAGAAGCTTTTGAACTAGGGTTTCTGGTAGGAAGTGCATTTGAGAAGGTTGAAGCAAGCTTTAAGCTTTTAACAAAACGTGGGTGAGGATGTATGTTTCAATCTTGCAAGGCAAGTTGGCCAAACTCGGTTGTCATCTTGTGGAGACAAGAAAGACACACCACCCTCCTCAGAATCACGAGTTTACTAGCAATCAAGTTGAGAAATCTGTCCACACCACACATGGGAGAGAGCAGAGGTTACCTCCTAGAATAATTGATCCCCCCCTCCCCCCAAAAAAGTTCCGCAATAAGTGATAGTAGAAGCCTTTTGCATTTGTCACAAATGGATACAATTTCACCTTTTATGGGGACTTCTTAAGGGGCCATGCCATTAGATTATTACCTCCAATATGAGGATCTCAAGCGTCAGCCACGTGCCCATTTTTCCCTTGAGTTTACAGTAGGCATGATCCCAGAAACCCTATAGATTGGCAACCACATTCATCTGAAAGCAAGAAAACGGGAAAGTAAGTGACATACGTATACCAGGTTAACCGAGGCTTTCATATCACGGACCTGCTAAAGAACTCTTCGACACTGAGTGGGCCCCCATACCCACCAAATCAAATGGAGGAGCCATCTCAGTCCATTAGTAAACTGATCCCCATCAAAACCAAAGGCAGAGAAAAAGCATCCAAGGGACCAGTAAGACATTTCACAGGCCTAATACAGACCATTATGTATAAGCCCATATAATTCATCGCTGCAGCTTAAAATTCAAGGCACAACATAAGAAGAGAAAAGAGGATCTCTCTTTTAGTGACATTACGTTAAATAACATCAAACGGACAGAAATGTTATTTATTAAGAAAAAGCAGAATAAGTGATCGCACCTTCAAATCGCCACATACTGTCTGTGTCAAACCCATAATACAAGAAAGAAGCATCACAACACTAAAATGATTAATGTGTAAATGAGTCATTTGCAAAATCAAGACTGCAAGACAATCGTTATCAGAAATTGACTGCACTACCAAAACCTAAAAAATATTATAGCTGTGAGCTGAAAGGAAGTATTAATATAGATTTCCAAAATAGCTAACCAAGGCTGCACTTTCGTTCTTAATAAAATCATGAGTAAAAGAAATGGATACATCAAAGGAAAGAGATTATTTTGTAAAAAGGAAGCACTTGGAATCTATTATAATATAAATTCGACCTGATTCATTATAATTCTTAAATTTGACGTTTAAATCATATATTTGGATGTATATTAAATATAAAGTTAATTCCAACTTTCAAATATAATTAAAATTAATAAAAGATTGCCATAAAACATATAATTCTTTACTCGTATATTTATAATTTTCTAATTGAGCTGTCATAATATAGTCTATAGAAAGGAATTAAAGGATCTATACAAAGACGGGAGGATCTAATCTAATTGCTTTCCCCTCAAACCATCCACAATTCTCTTTCGCGCAGGTCCCACCATGGCTCCGCTTGCGACTCCTCCTCGTTTCCTCTCCCTCCTTCCCTCGACCCTTTTCATTCCTTCGTTTCGAACTTCAAGGTAAAGAAAATAGTAGCAATAATAATAACAATTACAAAAAAGGATTTATCTCTCTGACTCTCTCTCTCTCTTAAAAATTTCTACTAAACGAAAAAGAGAAAAGAAAATCCCTAAACGATGCAGGAAGCAGAGATTCACGATCTGTCAGATGATGCTGATTATGCCGCGTCTCAGCAGCAAGTAAGCAACAAGCAAGAAAAGACAGAAAAATAACATCGAACCTTTTTTTTTGTAATTGAATTGTTTGTAGTCATTTCTCATTTTTTTAAGCGCGATTCCATCTCAAAATTAGTTGTCATTTATATCATATTTCTTGAATTGAACACGTTTTTTTATTTTTCTTTTGGTTGCAGCGATCGACGAGTATGATGCGGTGCGACAGTGAGAAACGAAGATCTTCAAATGAACCAGAGGGAGCCGAAATTGTTTATACAAAAGATAATGTTACAATTCATCCTACTCAGTTTGCCTCTGAACGGATTAGTGGAAGATTAAAGTTAATTAAGCAAAGCTCTTCACTTTTCTTGGTAATTAATTAATTCTCAAGCACTTGTATTTATTCATGTTGTGCATACTTTTGTTAATTATAGATAGCATTGAATATCATGCGTCGAGATTGTTTTGAGCTTTGATATCGCTAATTGCCCTGCCTCATTTGTTCCAATTATTTGTATCATCTGATGTAGTCGATAGATATCTGATGAGTTTACATCAGTGTACCCTATAAATTACCAGATAAGGTATGCCTATCTACGTCAAATGAGGCAAGTAGGATATCTCAAAGTTTTGGAGCAAATATCATTTATGCATATTTATTTGTTTCATTTGTTGTATTTGACTGTAGACATGGATTCCGTACAAAGGGCAAAGTACAAATGCTAGGTTGTCTGAGAAAGGTTTTTTTTTCTTTAGACTATCTATTTGAATGTATTATGCACTTTCAAGTTTGTATAGATTATAAAGTTGTATGGTTTTATCATGCAGATATGAATCTTTATACCATTAGGGAGGTGCCATTTGCTGATGTGAGGTGCATCCGGAGACACACTCCAGCTCTTGGATGGCAATACATAATTGTTGTTTTGTCATCTGGTAGGGAACCACAAACTGTATGAGATGGTGTTAAATAAATTGTGCTTTACATTTACGCCTTGTATTGACAGTTAATATTTTTCCTAGACATTTGAAAATTTATTGGGGTTAAAGATCGTTGGCTGGTATAGAAATTTGAAAATTTATAAATGTGTCAAAATTACTACTAGTTCATTCTACTTGCTAGTCTTTGCAATTCCTTTTGATGTTTGCTAAGAGATGATGTAATGGTTAACACCATGAATTTATTTTAAAGATGTTTCCATTTACATTCTGTTTTATTTCTAGTTCTTGCCTATGCTTTTTGTTTCATTTATGAAACCAAATCATTTCACAGGACTTGCATTTCCTCCCCTTTACTTCTATAGTGGAGGAGTTCAAGAGTTCCTTGCTACAGTAAAACAACATGTTTTTCTTATGAGGTTCGTTTGTGTTAGTTAAAGTTCCAGTTTAATAGTATTGCGTGATCGATAATTTTGAGTTCATCCTCAAGAGTTTGACAATCCTTGCTACATACATCCTTGACCGATAATATGATTTTTGTCCTTCTCACAGAACCAGTACAACACTACAAGTCTTCTGGTTTTAAAGTTTTGTTGATTTATTCACTTACATGTGTAATTATCTTTTTTCAGTACTGCCATATTCTGAAACCTTGGTTGATTTGGTTGATTGTTGGAATCCCTACTATTGGATTTTCCTTGATTCTGGACTATAGCTATGGTTTTATAGTATTTCTTTCTATAGTATAATTCTTAATTTTTGATTATGAAGAATTTGTTGCAATGTGGATTTTTATCTCATTGAATGTTCCATTGTTTGGTTAAAGAAGTGTAATTGTTAATTAACAATATTATTTTAAAAATGAAACATTTTCTTGCATGTGGCTGGACAAAAGGATAAGCTTTTTAGTGGAAAGAACTTTAGTAATATAAGTACTTATATTATCATAGGGTTATTATGTTTATACATTTGAATTTTTTGGTGTTGTATCAGGTCGGCAGAAGATGCAAATGTATTTCTTGTGAACAACTTTCAAAACCCTCTGCAGGTTTTTGCAATGCTAATTTATCTATTTTGGTTTATTTTATTAAAAATTTCTCGAGTTAACTGCTTTGTAGTTCACTAATATTTAACCAACAATGTTACCCATAGCTTTGTTAAACATAGGAACTAAGGACTGCTCTAATAGTTAAATATCTTTCTCTTGTAGAGGATAACAATTTTAAACACACGTCTTAGCGTAATTGTGCCAATGGAAATGGTCTTATCTGCATTTTTCTTTTTTTCCCTTAAAAGAATGAACTATAAATTTTATCGTTTTGTGGTTAGAATTGCGACTTCATTCTGAAGTTTCTAATTACTCATAACAGCAAACTTTATCTTCTTTGGGGCTTCCCGGGGCAGTGTCCATTGCATGTGTTCCATCAACGTCTGTTTTAGGTGGGGAGTCTGCTTCACATGAAAATGGAGAAAGGGATCATGTTGCTATATTTGATGGAAGTCCTAGTACTCGACATGATAGAAGGGAGAGGCAAAAGGTTCATGGTCCTGCTCGAGACATATCAATCCAAGTTTTGGAGAAATTTTCTCTCGTAACCAAGTTTGCCCGAGAAACAACTTCACAATTACTCTGGGAGAGTCAAAACAATTCTTTTAGTCTTTTTGAGAGGATAAATTTGAACCAATCTGTCCTTGATTCTAGTAAAAAACCACATAATGATGCACTGGAAGTTTATATTCCAGTCCCTTCAGATCCTTTTGAGGTAATTGTTTGTTCTCTTTGTCAGCTATTTACTGAATATTGTTTCCACTTGAAGTTTAATTGCATTTTACACATCTAAATAGGTTCTGTTTTTACATTTGGTTTGTACTGTTAATTAATTAAGAAGTGATGGTACTTTATCAAATTAGAGAACTGATAAATGAAATAAATTTCATTTCCCCATTATCTAATCATATGCAATCCTCTTGTTTCCCCATTATCTAATCATATGCAATCCTCTTGGCAGCAGTTGGTATGAATGTTAATGAAATGAAATTCATCGTATTGCTAGTTTGTGTTGTGAAAAATGTACTTTTATTTTATGCTACCATGCTCTACAATGGTGTATTTAAGAATTATAGCAGGAGTGGGCCCAATATTAATATGTTTGTCTTTATTTCCTGACAGTTAGACGAACTCTCACTAGCATGGGGAAAACCCCGACAACCTCCATTGGGATTGGAAGAGGTAAGGGGCCAGGAACAGACTTTATTGTTTTGTGTGTTTATCTAATTGGCTTATATTTTCAGTTTTTCACCATTCTCTTCTTTGGGCTATACCACCATCACCAATCTCTTAGTATATGAAATTGAATAGTTATAAAATTTCCTTATTTTTGTGGTAAAGGTTCCTTTTTACATGATGTTTGAAGTTATCATACACTTCATGTACTTTCTTTCCGATGACAACTGATTCAAAATGTGATAGCTATTATATTGTTATTTTTAAATTTAATTAATTTTCAGTGGGCCACATTCTTGGATTCAGAAGGACGAGTGGTGGATTCCGGTGCTTTAAGAAAAAGAATATTTTATGGAGGAGTGGAACACAAAGTACGAAAAGAGGTTGTTCTTTTGTATATGCAAGGAATTCTAAGTGGATTGATTATTTTGATTTAAAATGCATCTTAATCTTAGAGATCCTACTTGTGATTCAGGTCTGGAAAATATTGTTGGGATATCAAGCGTATGAATCAACATATGCAGAGAGGGAACGTCGAAGCTCCATCAAAAGGACAGAATATGAGATTATAAAAAACCAGTGGCAGGTTTGCAGTAACTTTTTTCTTCTAGTTTTTCTTGCAGCAATATTTCCTTTCATTTAATGTAGAGATTATCCAAAAAAAATTAACTTAGGTGATCTTTCCTCTTTACGATCTGTTGAAACTTTTTTCGTTCAGAAAAATGATTGTTTTCAATTTATCTTCTTAATATTAGTGCTTTTAAGAGTGTGTTTGGAGGTTTCGAAAGTTGATGTCAGGTTTTTGGGTTTTAAAATTTAACTTAGGTGATCTTTCCTTTTTACGCTTGGACCCTTTTTTTTGGGGGGGGGTTGTTTCCTTTTTCTAACTCTCTTTTTGGGTCTTTTTTGCAGGTTTTTTGTTTGATTTTTATGTGAAATAATAACACTTAGTTATACATACATAAGTTGTAAAAGTTTTAAGATGCTTTTCCTGAATGAATTATTGCCATTTTCTGGAAATAAAGTTGTAATTTCTTGTTCTAAGACGGTCATTCCCGTCCTTGTTATATGAAATTGATACTTAGTTGTAAGTTATTACAAGTATACTAATGTAAAATTTGCATGCATCATTATGATGGATGCTTGAATAAGAAATACTGCACCAGGGAAATAAAATACGGAGCCAACTCTTTTTAGTTATTTTATCTTAATCAGTATTCTCTTCACTAAAATATAGGGGCTATTAGATGTTCTAAGTTGGCAAATATCATCATTTTTTTTGGATTTTCTTCTTGATGCCATATAAATTTTTGAAGGAATAATTTCTTCTACTTACTATGCTTTGCTGCAAGAGCCTACTCATTTTTGTTATAATCAAGGCATTTTCTTTCCTCAAATTCCAAATAGATGTTAATGTATTTGGAGTTTGGTTAAATAATGTTCTTAGACCTGTTGTAACCATTTCCATATACTATTTTCTGTAAAAACCCTTATTTACACACGAAGCTGGTTCGTGTTTGCTGAATATTTTGGCAGAGTATATCTCCTGAACAGGAAAAAAGATTTACAAAATTTAGACAGAGGAAAGGCCTTATAGAGAAAGATGTGGTATGTATGATTCACATGCTTACATTGGAGTTTGACATATTTTTTTTATTATTGAAAAGTATATTGGTGCAATTCTAGCTTTCTGAGTCCAATGCAACCACTGTGTCTTTTTAAGGTAAGGACGGACAGGTCGATCTCTTTCTATGGCGAAGATGACCATCCAAATTTGACTCTTTTACATGATGTTTTGTTGACCTACTCTTTCTATAACTTCGATCTTGGTTACTGTCAGGTAATTACTTTTGATATGCTTTACTTTTCCTTTTGTTGGTTGCCATTAATAAAAAGTTGATTACGGCCAGTGTGTTAGAATTTATATGTTGGTTGTTTTATTTGATTCAATGAAAGTGTTTGGATGTTTCAAAATGCAATAAGAAGAGTGTTTTAAATTGCGTTTTTTGAATGCATTATGCATCTGCTTTCTTTAGTTAATTTTAACAAAATAGATAGCTATGTACATGGAGATGCCTATAAATGTGCAATTTTTACACTTTAGATTATTGGTTCGGGGCTTCAGCCATGTGAACATCTAGGCCTATATCTTGTTTTCATTTTCAATGCCTGAATGCGTTTCTCCGAATTATATATGCATTTTTGTCACTTGTATTCTAGATGATTGCGTGCTTCATCCCTTTGTCTATTATTTTTACAGGGTATGAATGATCTGTTATCCCCAATTTTGTTTGTAATGGAGGATGAATCAGAATCATTTTGGTGTTTTGCAACATTGATGGAACGCCTTGGGCCCAATTTTAATCGTGACCAAAATGGCATGCACTCTCAGCTTATTGCATTATCTAAGGTCTTTTTCTTTGTCTCTCTTAATTAGGACTTGTTAAAATTCTAAATTAGGACTTTATTATTTCACGTGTCCTTTTAAACATGGATCAGTCTTGTTACATAAATAGGACCTAATCAACTGAAATAAAACCATAATTAAGAGCAGCAATCCTAGGATTGATGACTGACTTCTAACTGATACAATTGTTATCAAGCATCCAATGGCATTTTTATTTTTATATCTTGTCATTGGAAGGTGGCATTTCAAGTTAGTAAACTGAGAAATCATTAGCAAGTGTGGTTAACAGAAAGGACGTTATAAAGTACTTGTGTCTGATCATGAATGCCTCTTGTATTCACTCATTTATTTGCTATTTTAAGTATGTTGTTTAAATTTCTTGATATCATTATTTGTTGTTTTAATATCCACTATTCATCGTTTGTGTAGCTGGTGGAGCTGTTAGATGGCCCATTGCATGAGTATTTCAAGCAAAAGGACTGCTTGAATTATTTCATCTGTTTCCGCTGGATTCTGTTACAATTCAAAAGGTAAAGACTTTTATTTTGTAGTGCTTCTTTTATGCAAGTAATGCTCGTACGTTCCTTCTTTACATTCCTGTTTTGCTTGTATGCGTTCACTCTGAAACGTAAAGATGGATTTACATGTCAAACATATGTATCAGGGAACTTGAATTTGAGAAGACGATGCTATTGTGGGAAGTATTATGGACATATCATTCGTCGGAGCACCTTCATCTGTACGTATGTGTTGCTATATTGAAGCGTTATCGAGGGAAGATGATGGAAGAACAAATGGAATTCGACACCCTTCTAAAATTCATCAATGAGTTGAGTGGTCGGATTGACATTGATGCGATCCTCAGGGATGCCGAGGCTTTATGTTTATGTGCCGGCGAAAATGGTGTTTCTTGCATCCCACCTGGAACTCCACCTTCTTTGCCTCTTGGCAATGATGTTTTACTCGATCCTGAGCTAGAGGATAAAGTATTATGAACGGTTAATTTTTACATAAATATTGAATATTGTTAATAATGATCAAAATATGCCTTTGGTTGCTTTTAATATAAAACTATAAAACTAGAAGGTTTCAAAATTAAATCCAATTATTATGGAATTTATTGGAGGAGATGCCGTTAATTTTTAGTTGAAGCATTTGGATCGGTCAATCTAGATTATGTAACCATTGCGAGAAACCAATGATGGGTTGGCAAACCAACTTTGACGATGCTAGTTCATTTGTTAGGCTTTAGGTTTTCTTGCACCAAATAACCCAAAAAGAGGGTCTCCTCATTGAGAGACAAAGTGAGGCTTCTAAACAGGCTGCCCCTCACCTACATTATTTCAAGACATTGAAAAAATGCCTAACAAAGTGCACATTGAGTGAGTGTTAGACAAATTCATCTAATAATTTTGATCACCGTTTAATTTGCTCCCAATTAAATTGGGTTCACGTCCCACAGTACAATTCCATTTACACAAATCTAGTCGGTCCACCTTTTGATCGAAAACTGTCGTTATCGGCTTGAAAAGGATTGCTCTCTTTGAACCGAATGTGGGTGTAGGGACTAGGGAGTGCCACCAAGGCACCAACGCACCCGGGCTGCATCGCCTTGACCCTCTGTCTCAAAAGCTCTTGGACTCTGCACGTGAATCCCGATGGTAACTTCATTTCATTGGAACTAGTTCTATTAACAATAAACCAAAACGGTAAAACAAAAATCGTGATTATTAAATCGATAATACAATACATGAATAATAAAATGGGAATTAAAGTACAAAATTATGTTTTATATAATTCAGAACAAATAAAACACACACACACACAAAACAGCGATATGTTTTGGGGAATACACTAGTTTGCCGTGGGTTACATTCTCCGCAACGTTTTCTCCCGCTTTCTCTAGTTTCCCAAACTAAAATAAGGAGTAACTCTTTTTTGTAATGCAAAAGTTGAGGTCGACAGTAACTGTTTTTAAAAACTCGTTTGTTTCTGTGGGTCAGGGGTACTCCATTTTTTTTTTCTTTTTGATGAAAGAGAAGCAAGCAATAGAATTCAATATTCGCAAATATGATTAACGCATGGTTATTATGGATTGAACATCTCATCCGCAAGACAGAAAAAGCTAATAAAACGTTCCGAGTAATGAATTACTATTTTTTCTTTAGGACACAAGGGGTTGGAAATCAAAGATGAATGCAAGGAAATCGAGAGAGTTGGAGTTGTATATAATCTTTCTTAGGATGTAGTTGGATAAATATGTTTTTGATATATTTATTTACAAGTCGTATGGCGTTATTAGTAAGGATGCAGAAAACAATGGAATCTAACAAAAGGGAAAATAGGTCTGCAGAAAGTGAAGCAAACCTGGACCTGCTTCATCAAAGTACATTTATCGTGAAAATTAAAATGAAACATATGCTGCTGACTGCTTTTAATTCAAAATAACATTAACACCCTTTTATAATCATGAGATTTGATAATGTAAAGTTATATAAACAATTTGTTTCTTTTAAAATATTCTAATCTTTGTTTTGTTAACTGTTGGCAGCTTTGTTTTTTGAATTGTTATTGATGTGCATGGAGCTGCAACTGGGACTCGCTCTTCCAACTCCCCTAATTCCCATGGAAATGTTGGACCTAAACAGCTATGGTTGCGAGCACAGGGAGGCTTTGAGTTTGCCTTTACTAAAACTGGGACCAGCTGACATCGACATTAACAACAATAACAACAGCAGCCACAGTAGTTCTAGTGGCAGCGCCAAAAATCGATACTTCGATGAGCAGCATTACTCTTCGATGAGGGGAGAATTATTCCAAAGACTCTGCCTCTTTTGCATTGGACTAACAAACCAAATGATGAAGATGATCCTGAAGAAGGTCACCAAATCCCCTATGGTGGCGGAAGAGGCAAACAATGACAAGGTGATAGGCCTTCAAAATCCACGTACGTGAAGGTAAAGATGGAAGGAGTTGCAATTGCTAGGAAGATTGACGTTGGCGTCCACCACTCCTTTGAAGCACTTACTAGCACTCTGATGAGTATGTTTGTCATACGTAAGTAAACGCCAAACCATGCTTAAACATAATAACGATTTCAGTTATTTTACGTTGGATTATAACAAAACCTGAATCAACTATTAATATTTTGCCATCTTTTTTGGATACAGCTGAGGAATATCGAGAGGGCATACTTGTCTGAGATATTTTCCCTGTAAACTAATGGAACCAAACTTGATTATTTCAGGACCTTCATTCGCTCCTTGAAATGCCTGAAATTAATTAGATGCAGAGGCTAGCGAGTGGATTTATCATGTTTCATCTTAGAACAATCCTGGTGGCCTGTTTTCTCTCTTTTTTTTGCATGAATTTTGATTGATTATATGTAATTTAACTCTTTGTAATCCGAAACATGAGTTTTTAGAGGAATATCCGCCCATAATCGTCTCCCATTGCAAACTTTATTAATTTATCACTTTTTAAAATATTGATGCTTCTCTTCCATAATCTCAACACATTAATACATATTGTCTAAAATCAGGTGTTTGGAATTTGATTAAAATAGTGACTTTTAATATTTCAAGTTTTAACTACTAAATCTTATTATTTTAGTTAAAGGAAAAATATATGATTTAAATTGTCTATTGCATGATATAGTTGGACGTAATTACATAATATGTCGAATATATATGTTGTCTATTTTAAATTTTAATAAATTTAAGATAATGTAAGACTTGGCATCACTTTGAAATTGATGAATCTTATTGAGAAATCCATCTAATAATTTCTGCAGCAATCCCAATCCGGTTGTGAAATAATGGCACTTCATCAGAAATCATGGTTGCATAATTTTCAAAGCTGAAAAATCAGCCACAAGCCCAAGATGGGGTGGTGGGGATAGGGAAACCATGTGAAATAATATTGAATTTTATCAACCGACGGACACTTGAAAACTTTTGATTTTGGTGAAGCTATTGTTGCAGGCCTATTACCCAAACTTCACTGTTCCATGGCCCATGACAAGCTAATTTTATCAAAGTAGGAGGATCAAAGAGTTTTTTTTTCACAGTAAAAGATTAATATTTTAATTATTAATAACAAATCATCCAAAACAACTCTTATAGAAAAAGTCATTAGACTGCAGCCCCCATTAAAAGATACTGCATAAGAAACGTACCTCTTTGTGCTATTCGTAACAACGGGGTGGGGTGGAACAATTAACAGATGTTTCTTCATTAAATTGAAAAGCAAGCCTTGGATTTTAGTGGTATTTTCATCCCTCCCTATGGTTCCAATTCCAATACACCCTAAGAATTCTAGGCGGTGACGTGCAAAATGTGCGCAAATGTCTCACAAACCCTAATCATTTGTGTACGGGAAATGAAACGATATTCATTATTCATCCATTCATTGAATTGGATCATTCGACTTCCAGAGCCTCATACATTCGTATCGAAACCAAAGTATGAAACACAAATCACATGTTCACTTGCAGTTCCATGTTTCAGAGATCATCAGTACAAACGTTACTGTCACCATATTTGAGAGATCATTAAGTCTTGTCGTATTTCTTCTCTACAAACAGCGACCCCTGCAAAGTTCAACGGTGACTTCACACTGCAACAGTACAACGGCCCCTGGTCTTGTATTTAATAAGCTTATCCTAACGCTTTAACCAGAAGGGACCAAAACCATATATCATTTCCATTCCACTTTCCTTGGGTATTAAATGAATGCTTAAGGACCAGGACCGGCTTAGCCGACTCCTATTAACTATGAGATTATTACACAATGACGTGTACCCTTGTTCTTCTTAATTGACGATACAATGCATTCATTACTAAAATAAGCAATGACGTTTTGTTTTTAGTTAATCATCGATTAATGTTTCAATGTTTTAGGTAACTCTGTTGGTTGTTTGTCATTCTCCCATCTCCACCTTACTTTGTCTGATGCTGATGTTTCTTTCAACTGATTCTCAGTTTCGATATTTTGGCTGGTGGAGCTTGAAACTTAAAAGCAACCCTTTTGTTTTGCATTTTCTGTGGAGGAACTATCTAAATAAACAAGATATAGAATCACATGAGATTTGATCCTCGGACTGATTCAATCACACTACATGCTGCATTATGATCTAATCACATTGCTGTTCAAAAACCACTTAAGTTCCAGGCAGATGGAGAATGACAATTGAATTCTTAATTGGTACCACGCCACTCTTTGATTTCAAGATACCACTGTTTTTTATGTTCTGTTGCATCCAACAAAATTTAAAACATACTATAAAAAATAATTTAAATACTTATTTGAAAGTCAAAACATATCAAAAGAACATTAGATGAAGTCCTTAAAAAAGTTCAAAGCAAGCAAAAATGATCTTCGATACCAACTAGAATTCTTCATGATTTAAGCACGCAGCCACGCCTCTAATTTACTTGAACTGAATCACTTTTAATCGATTTCGCAGCATACATAACGCTGTGCATCACCTTCTCAAACCCTAGATTTTGCTATCCTTTTCTCTTCGCCAAGTCCCAACAAAATTAACGTACTCCGCCTATCTATTTAACAAAAGAGCTTTTAGGGAAAATAACCACTTATTTTTTCTTTCAATCATTTGGTTCCATCTCCTCATTTCTTTTAACCTAGACCGACAACTGATTGGGCGGCTGTTTTTTTATTTATTTATTAATTAGAGGTGAATATAAGATAATATTACATACATGTTGTATGAATCCGGAAACTCAATAAATAATAATAATTTTTTAATCACTAAGTTTATTTGATTCGTATTTAAATGAATGATCTTTAAATCTGCATTATTATTATTATTGTGATTGTTATCTATGAGGAGGGCACCATATCCTCTGTATTCTCTAACTCACCCCAATTGTAGGACAATATATAACTTCTCTAAAGAAACTTGGGTTTCGGTCCAGGAGATCCCCAAAGACGAACATCAACCTTTTCTTGTGTTTCCTTTCATGATTTTAGGAGACAAGACACGACAATTATTTAATTATTAATGTTTAATTTATTCAAATATATTAATTAATTTAAATTTAAATATTATGTTAACATATTATTTATTATATTGTTAGTATCAACAATCACTTGTTATATTTAGCTAGGTTCAGTCCAAAACTTGCGACAAAATGTTTTCCTTGCATTCCATCTTAAAATCTTATCGGAAAGTCACCCTCGCTCAATTACTAAAATCATATATATATTAGAAGGTAGGCTACGAAATATATTCTACTTGAAAATTTTCAAAAGGAAAAATATAAAAACATGTTAAATACATAAATTTCAATTCTTAAGTCACATGTAAACTTCTCAAAATATAAAAACATGTTACACACATAATTTTAAGCTCTTCAATCTCATGTAAACTTCTCAAAATGATCCTTACAACAATCGAATAAAAGGTGCAGGGACGAAACGTTGAAGAGACTAGAGGGGCCATCCCCCTAATTATTAAAAAAACAATATATATATATATATATATATATATTATATTATTAAAATTTATTTCCTAAAAAATTATGTATAATAAACTATTAAATTTGGTTACCATAAAAAATGTGCATATTACTTTGAAATTTAGAAACTAATTAAATATCATTTATTAAAAAGAGTTATCTATCTTTTTATTATTTTTGAAATGAATGAAAATTAATTTATTTTTCATTTTTAATTTCAAGACATAAAAAATTTATTTGTGTTATTCTTTGTCTGGTTTTTCATCTTCTTTGAGTTGTTCAATTGATGACTTCAATCAAGTAATCAAGGATTCAATTTTAAATTTCATTCCAGCTTAAGGTAATTTTATAAAAATATTATTTAATTAAATTTATATTTATGGTTTTATTTCAAATATCTATATTTATTATTCAGGTTCATGAGTTTTTATCTCTAAAAATAAAATTGTAGACACAATTTTAGATAATATCATTATCGATGTATTTTGTTTCTTTACTTTTTTTTATTTGAATAGATAAATTTTAAGGATTTATAAAAAATAATATGATATGTTGATATATGATTTATTTTGATAAAAGTACTAATTTTTTTTAGTTAATATATAAAGATTTAAAATGGTCTCCTCAAAGAATAATGTTAAGTTCTACTAAAAATGTGCATAAGCACAGATAATTGGATACAGTTTGTATTTGATAATTATTCAGTGTGAAATATATATAATATCCATAATTTATACAATGAGACTTTATTAAAAGAAAACTAATAAATATAATTTTAGTATATGAAATTTAGTGATTCATAATAAATGTATAAATTAAAAAAAAAACGTGCATAAATATGCTGGTTTATAAAGTCGTATTTTATTGGTATGAAAAAATATTTAAAATTTTAAATATTATATTATTCTGATATGATTATAAAATAATATATGTTTATAATTTTATTAACCAATTGACAATGAACACGCATCCTACAAACACAAATGCTTGAACTTATGACCTCAAAAGAGAACAATATTTATTTTTATCATTAATTTCGCTTAATTGATTTAAACATGTAATCCCTTTAAGTTACTTTTTTATTAAAATAAATTCTTAAACTATTATATGTAACCGCTTTAAGTAATTAAATTGTTTTTTATCAAATAAATATATAAACTACGTATTTTATACTTTAAATATCTAAATAAATTTTTTATAAAAATCAATATCTAATTTTAAATGACATGTTAAAATTTTTATTGATTAAAAAAATTAACTGAAAAAAGAATGGTTATATGTAATATATATATTTTTTACTCTAAGCCAATTCTCCTAATAATATCCGGGTCGAGCCAAGGTTTGTAATACCGCCAAGCTTTGCTTTTGTTTTCTTCAAACCCTAACCTCTTTTCTGTTTACATGACCAATAGCAGCTAATTGAACTCCCATTTTATCTGTCCTATATTTTCACCTCTAGCCTAGGTCCCAGCATTCGGTGCCTGAATTACCCTTTTTCATATCGGATTGGCATCTCTATCTAGTTTAGATTACCTCTTTGGATCCTCTCTCTTTCTGGCTTTCTGATTCTCTATCCGAATAAAACTTTTCTATTATATAAAGGATATTTCGTTTACTGTTGTGATACATAGCCCTTTTCTAAAGCAAGGAGTTGAGGGAATAAAAGCTTCTTCTTTTTTGGCTTCCAAGTGTTGCTTTCTTCTTGGGGGTTGAGAAGTGCTTGCTCTAAGTTTTGGTTTAAATCCCCCCCCCCTTTCTTTAGCTGAAAAGACATGTCGAACTGCATCGATATTACGTCTGAGCAACTATGCTACATCCCTTGCAACTTCTGTAACATAGTTCTTGCGGTACCTCATCTCATATATCTATTCTTTTTAATGGAGGGATCTCCCTTTTTTATTTTTATGTATATTTTGGTTTTGGTATTTTCCTTCTCCGTATATATATATATATATATATATATATATCATACAAAGCAAGAATTTTAGCTCCTGAAATAAAGCTGATCTTTGCATCTGCGATCGGTGCTCTCGTGTTCTTTTTTTTCACTGAGATCTATTGATTTTGTTTTATGGGGCTTCTTGTTTTTTTCTTTCCACTTACCAGTCAAGTCTCCATCGTCGGACTCTTCTTTTGCAGTGGAAAAAAGTCATAAAGAAGTGTTAGCTAGTTAGATATTGTGATTATGTTATCTTTGATAAATAGAAAGAGAAAATTTCTCAACGTCCAAAGTTCAAACACAGGTATTTTGTTGATAATTTGATGAGGACAACGCCTCAACTCCCTTGCTTCGCTACTGTTGTTGCATACCTTTCCCTTGCTTAAAATATTGCTACAACCTGATTCCTTTGCTAACTCGGTTTCTTTAGCTAATGGGAAAAAGGAAAATGTGAAGATTCTCACTTCTCAATACCTTTGATCATTTCCCAGAAAACACCCTCCTCTAACACATTAAGGAACCCACCCATGCACCCCTTATTATATTATTATCATCTTACTATCCACCATCTTCGTAATTGCGATGAACTGTACATGATACCATGGACAAGCAGACGACAGTTTAAATCAGCTCAGGAAAGCCAAGGGAAAAAACCATTGACCAATATACTACTGACCTTCTTCTATGTTTCCTGCCCCTTTCTTCATGGGAGAAAATAGATCCTAGCTAAGACATATCGTTATAAACTCCATTTTTTTTAGAATCTTAGCCGATCTGGAATTCTCTTTCACTTTGTTTCTTACTACTTAGAAGTTAGAACTCAACTTTTCTTAATTATAGTTTTTAATTTTTGGGTTAATGCTCAGGTGAGCGTTCCATACAGCAGCCTGTTTGATATTGTGACCGTCCGATGCGAGCACTGCACCAATCTATGGTCCGTAAACATGGCAGCTGCCTTTCAGTCTCTTTCATGCCAAGAGGTTCAGGTGATATGGTCCTCTCAGAAATATTTTTTTAAAATATAATATAATCTTATTTCAGGATCTTCAAAGCCTCTGAAATCTAGGGCTCCTCGGGGTAGTAGTAATTCGAAAGAGACATACTAAAAGTTTTTCAAACGCGTTCCCTATGAAACAGTTACAGAGTACTGAAACCCTAGCTAGCAGCCGACAAGATCAAACCCTATTTCATTTGCTTTTCTATAGGGCTGAGTTTTGCGGCTTTGAGTTGAGTTGGGGCGCCTATGAACTTAGCCTGTTTATATTTTTTTCCCAAGTCATTCTTTTTATGATTTTTAACACTTTCTTAATCCGGTCTGCTTTAGGGTAGTTTTATTTGATTGACATGTAAGTTAGGGTTCTTAGGTAATATTTCTTTTCAAGAACTGTGCAAATAAATGAAAAGTGAAAGCTTTGCGAAGAAGAATACTTTATGCATTTATTTCTCATATTCTTTTCCATCAACACAAATAAAAATACTTCCATAAGTTTAACATATTCTTTTTTTCATTAATTTATTCTTCACATAAAACTAGATGGTTAACATACAAAAAATATCCTAAAGAGGAAAGCAAAAGCTGATGGCTACCATAAAGGTTAAAAGGACCGATTAACGAGAAGATGACTTATCTTTCTTCATCCACTAAGAATTTCACTCGGAGAAAATATGGAAATAGAAATTAGTGTCTAATTTGATGTTGAATCTTCATCTGATAATACCAAAAAAATCTTTTTTATTTTCTTTACAGACACCCAATCATGCAAGACAAGATTATAGGACGGCTGATTTGGGTTCCTCATCCAACTGCAACAAGTTCTCAATGCCATCTCCTACTAACAATATCGTCTCTGAGGAAAAAGTTGTCAACCGACGTAAGTTAATCACATACCTTTGATATAATAATACATCCTTTTTCTTTCTTCTACATTCGTAGTTTGTATCTAAATATTCTTATTTTTTAAAATAAAAAAAATCAGCTCCCCAGAGGAGGCAGAGAGTACCTTCTGCATACAATCAGTTCATAAAGTGCGAAAACCGTAATGAGTTTCACACACCACTAATTTGTATTTTATATAAAATTGCCGCTTGCTTTGCTATATATCTAATTATCAACTAATGTAGAGAGAAGATCCAAAGGATCAAGGCTAATAATCCTGATATAAGTCACAGGGAAGCATTCGGCACTGCTACTAAGAATGTAAGTTCACGTTGTTTAAGGCTGCAAAGATCCCATCAATCACAGCATAGACATTCATTCATTGAGGTTCCATATAAAAATGATTATTCACCCACCTCTTGTTATTCCTATATTATAGTGGGCGCACTTCCCTCGTATCCATTTTGGACTGATGCTGGAAACCAACAATCAAAACTAAGCAGGATGGTGTAAGCAGTTTATCCAGTTCTTTGATCATATACTATTTATCTTGCTTAAGACAGCCCTTAAACCTGTTTTGGATATGTATATAAGAAGGATTTGCATTTTGTCAAAGGCATATAACAAGTAATATTTGAGATTGGCAATGGTGAACTCAACTCTGATTAAATTAATGGTGTCTGAACATCAGACCTCTGGGCAGCATCTCATGTCAACGATTGGTCTGCTCAACAGGTGATTACTGTGTTTAAGATTCAAGGAGTAACCTTTCCGCAGTGAAGGCTAGCTATGGTTTGAAATTTGAAGTCAAGAACAGGGTTGATCCAATGTGTGAGTGTACAGTGTGTGTTTGGACATGGATTTATGTCTTTAGTTGTATTGTTTACTTACAACTGAACTATACTTTTGCTTGGCTTTGTTATCATATTATCCACTTTTTAGGTGAACATATTTATATATCTGTTAAATTAATTCCACTGTTGAGTTAGTTAACTAGTGAGTGGGGAATTAATATGTCCAATTTATCGTGAAATTCATAATATTTAATGATTAGAGTACTTATTTAGATGCATGGTGTTTGATAAAGGTATTAAATTGATATATAAAAAAAGTTTTTTTTTAAATATCTTGAATTCTTAACTTTTGAATGAAGTAAATTTATATTAAAAAGGTCGTTCCATAATAAACTTTTATCTTAATTTTATATGTTTTTATTCGCACAACACATAATTTTTTTATTTCTCACCTCTTTCATTTTTTGTTTATTTGATTATTATTTTTAAAATATTTTTATATTTCTTATTCAAACAAAGATTATAAAAAATAAATATAAATTCTTTGCAATGGTTTATAACAATATGAGAGGCCTAACAGAATCTCAACATGCACAGAATCTCCAAGAAAAAAGCAGTAAAGTTTATCATTATTTTCCAGCCTCTGATTTTCTTTTTATTGTGTTCAACTGGTCAAACAAAAGAATGTTTTCAGGTGTATAATTATTCTGAGGCTGCTTTTATATTGTAATCATTATTAAATTTACTTCTTTTTTTCGTGAACAAGATCTTTAGGTTCATGAGAGGCAATATATATGCAGAGAGAGCAATTAGGGCATCACTGGAAATGTGGTCACCCCCTTTCCACTGCCTATTCTCAACAACAAAGTTAAAAGGGAAAGAGAAGAGCAAGATGTTTTGAAAGAGAAGAATATAGGGTAGTAAAAATGTGAAATTCGAGTAAGAAGTGCATGTAGAGTGACCTCAGCATTATATAATATGAGCAGTAAAAAACAAGGAAGAGAAGGGCAAGAGTTGTGACACAAGAAGAATCTTCTTTGGACAAAACGCACAAATTCTTTGTTGTTTGAAATAGGACCAACACACAACATGATGGCACCCATTCCTCTTCTTCACTGCGATCCACCTAACCCAGCCCCGTCCAAAATATAAAGGAACAAAGCATCCAGATGATCTCACATTCACAAACAACTTATTATAAAATCTGTGTCAGAGCATTTTCCACATGTTGGTTCTGTCGTTTAACAAACAACTGGAATAATACTGAGAGCTTTTACTGCTGCCATATCAAATTGTCTTCCTCGCTGATAATTTACATAATTTAAGTTCTCTCAAATTGCTACTTTCATGTTCATTGATTCCTACTTGTACCTTGCAAACCATTTATGCCATTGCTAATCCATCTTCTTTGCATGCGATTGTTACATCTCTTTCCAACCTCTTTCTCTTGTTGCTTTATGCACCAGAGGTGAACTTCTTACAGCAGAATGATTTTAATTTTTTAAGTTTGCAGTAAATCCCTGTGATTTTTTCATTTCATAATTGCAATAACTATCCGGCTGGTCTTTTTATCTTAGCTTCCAACCATTTCATAATTGCAATTCTGGCTTTTAGGATTTACCGTGGTTTTACAGGTTCATGGGCACATGAAATCCTTACTAGATGCAGGAATAGGATGAAAAGAACCATGTTGGTATGAAGTAGGTTCATGTGAATGTCTCTTCTTTTTCTTCTTCTACCTTCCTTTTCCCTTTCCATACAAACCTACGGATTGCAGGCCCCATCACCCTTATATTTTACATCATTCTATTTTTGTAGCAAAGGATCACGTTTAAAAAAGAAAACAGCAACAGTTGTGGAGGCAAGCAGCAGTAGGTGAAGTGAGTACAATGGCCACTATTAGCCAACAGGGCAGGGCTACTTATAGACCAGCCTTTAATCAGGGCATCAATCCATGCGTTGCCCCATGGGCTATTATTAATAGCCTTCTGAAATTGTGATTTCTTTTAGTATTTGGGGAGAAATTTGTGCCGTTTTGGCATTTCCTTTTAACCTGCTACCGTAATACTAAATCATAAAATGCTTAATTAGATAACTGTAAATTTATAGTGTGTTTTACAGGTAACGATTCAAAGGTTAAGTCTAACATATGCATCAATAATGCTAGAACAGAATGCTTAGGTATATATTCTATTGAACAAAGGGGGAGTCAAGTCAGCTTACAAAAAGATGAGAGAAGATGTAACTTCAGTCAATTCACCCCCAGGGTAACTATTTATTGATTGTGGGACTTCAACATTTTCTTAAATTTATACTCCTTCTATGGCCCATCACCCACCAAATTCTGATCACAGAGACGTATTCTATTTTTCTTTCGTTTATTATTAGTTTCTTAGAGTGAATTGATGGGAGATGTTTCTGTGTCCAACCATCATCTTCTCTTGCCATCAAATATAAACTCCTTCCTAATTCCTTCCTTGATAAAAAAAAAACAAGCTCCATTGTTGCAGAAAACACACACACACACTGTAAGATTCTATGTTTTGTTGTTGTTAATCGGTGAAAGTAACATACCAATATTTTATTCGAGGATCGTTTTTCTGGCACAGTTGGGTCAGCAATGTCTCTACCAGGTAATAATGATAACAGTTCAAAGCAAGAGAAAATGGTTCTGGGTTCGAGGCCTCCCAAGTGTGTCAATAAGTGCTTCAGTTGCAGACCATACATGGCTGCTTTAGTTTCTTATCCTAATCATGGAAATACTGGAAGCTCTTCGTGTCAAGGTGATGAAAGCTACTATCTACTGACCTGGAAATGCAAATGCGGAAAGAAATTCTTTCAACCTTGAGCAAAGATATTAATGTATATAGAATCAAAATAGAGTAAAAACTTTAATTGATCGAGAAGAAGAAAAACTCTCTTTAGAATAATTTCACAAAATTACAAAAGGGAAGAACTCTTAAGAAATCTTTCAAATGCTTATAATTAAGCTTTGATTGTTGGATGATAAAACTCAAATACAAGTAGGGTATTTATAGGTTACAAGAAACAATCTAAACCACTAATTAAAATAAACACTAAATAATCTAAACCATTGAAATTAAAATATGAGAAAAATACTTAATTTTCACCTAACTAAATTGATGTAAGCAATGACATCAAAACTAAATTGATGTAAGCAATGACATCAAATTAATTTAGGTGTGAACTTATTTAGGCTAATATTGAATTTTCAACAATGTATACATATCAAGCTTAAAACCCTGTTAGCTTACATTGTAGAACTTTGCAGTGTAGTTGAATCTTTGATTGCCGATTTAGTGATGATGTTGGTATCTGAGATTTATTATTCTACTTCTAGTTCATAAAACATCAATTTAGCTCTAATGGTGTTTCATAAGCTGAAAAGGCCTAAATGTTTTACTATTTCTTTTGATTTTAAATAGTGCATGCAATGATCATTTAAAATTAAAAAACAAAGAGTGATGATATAACACAGTAGTTGCAGTTGTACAAGGATAACCCTACAAAACCTAGGACAATTGTAAAACATGAAAAGAAAAAACAACCAAAATAAAGGTTGTTATGGCAGATCCACTGCCATAGCCGAAGCACACCAATCTGAGGCACCTAAACATTGGAACATCTCAAAGCAACCACGCTATAGAGTTAAATTACAAAAGGAAACACTTGAAGACTCTTAAAAGAAAGATGTTTATGGACTGATCCGAACAACAGATTTCAAAGGGACTGAAGAATGAAAGAAAGCTAAGACACCAAGTAGGTACAGTTCCAGCAGAATACAACCATGACTTTCCAGAAACCATGGCTATGATATATAACAGACTTTCCAGTGTCAAGAATGCCTGCAAAAATTGAGATGGATAGAACATCTGCCAAACAGCCAAAAGTCCCCGATAAAACACCAAGCCATTGAGCAACCGGCGTGGCTAATTCGTCGAACCAAAAAAACTGTGCGGAATGTTGCTACCTGTGTGAGCTGACCATATGAGTTTAATACTTCTACTATCTTTAATGCTGGAATAGTTGTTCGGATCTGGATCAACAGCGCCTTCGACCCTCAATCAGAAAAGGATATCACATCTCCACAAGCTCTCCATGAGCAGCTCAACGGTTTGAGTGCTGATTGAATTGCATTGCTGGAGATTCAGCCCCACCAGGGTCTTGCCCAATTTTTTCAGGAAGGTCAAGCTTTTGTTTGTTA